GTGGTTCATGTCAGCTGAAAAAGAGATCAGAAGACATCAAGCAAAGGCAAGAGGAGAAGATTAAACTCTCCTTTTTTTCCTTAGTGTCTGTAATTTTACACTTCACTCTAAACCAGAAATGTCTGTTTTCCACTTCTGTGTAACAGATTACCACAACTGTAGTGGCTTAAAACAACACCCATTTATTAGATCTCAGTCCTGTAGGTCAGAAGACTGGGCAGGCTCACCTGGATTTTGTTCTTAGGGTCTCATAAGGCTGTTACCTAGATGTTAGCTGGTCTGGGCTTTTATTAGGAGCCTCTGGGGAACAATCAGCTTCCATCATTATAAAGGTGGTTGGCATAATTCATTTCCTTATGGAGATAGGACTATAGTTCCCTTTTCCACACTGGCTGTTTTCTGTGGGCCACTTAGTTCTGAGAGGCCACCTGCTCTCCTGGCAAATGGGCTACTCCATCTTCAAAGGAGCAAAAACACATGAAATCATTCCCAAGTTTGACATACTTCTGACTTCCTCTTCTGCAATCAGCCAGAAACAAAACAAAACAAAACCTCTCTTCTTTTAAAACATTCGTGAGATGTGGTGAGGCCTATGGAAATAATTTTCCCACCTAAGGTCAACTAATGAGTAAGCCTAATTTCATCTGCAGTATCCCTTTGCTATTTAGTCATGGGAGGAACATCCAGGTGGCTAAGATCATGGGATCACCTTAAAATTCTGCCTATCACATTGTCCCATGTGTGATCCATGAGTGGCAGCCCAGGGAAGGCAGAAGGGCATGTTGCTGTGGCCAACATAACCGGTGACTTCTGAGAAGCCTGGAGATCCAGAAAGCTAGAAAGCAAGGTGTTTAATGGGGTCCCCCTAATGGTGGAAATTGTGGCTCCAAAAAGGATGTATGATCACTATGAATTTCAGACAGAATCCCGTTTGGGGCCTGTTTTTTGTTAAACCTTAGAAATAATGATCATTTGTCAAAGGGAACTAAGATATTATTAAGCAGGGGAGGGCCTATAGAATCAGAAGATATTTGAGTTACATATTTGCAAATGTCTTAATCCGTGTCTTTCATAAGAACAAAATGAGACTTAAAAGTTATAATTACTTTCTATTCATAAGACAGGTAGTTATAATTACTTTCAACAACAGTGTGTCATGTTTCTACATTCTTATTCAAAGTGGTTTTTCCTTCACTTGATTTGGTATAATAAACAAAGGAGGAATCTAAGAAAAACAACAGCCTTTTGGGAGGCTGAGGTAGGAGGATCACAAGGTCGAGATCAAGACCATTCTGGCCAACATGGTGAAACCCCATCTCTACTAAAAATACAAAAATTAGCTGGGCGTGGTGGCATGTGCCTGTAATCCCAGCTACTCAGGAGGCTGAGGCAGAAGAATCACTTGAACCCGGGAGGCAGAGCTGAGACCACACCACTGCACTCCAGCCTAGGCAACAAAGCAAGACTCCATCTCAGAAAAAAAAAAAAAAAAATTAGCTGGGCATGGTTGCATGCACCTGTATTCCCAGCTACTCAGGAGGCTGAGGCAAGAGAATTACTTGAACCTGGGAGGTGCAGGTTGCAGTGAGCAGAGATCACACCACTGCACTCCAGCCTGGTGACAGAGCAAGACTCTGTCTCAAACAAACAAACAAACAAAGCAAAACAAACAAACAAACAAAAAAACACCTCTCCAAGGTCCAGGGTCCAGGGCTATTCAGGCCAATTCAGCCTTGGGCATGTAATGGATGGTCTAAAGGAGGGGGCATGGTGTGTGAGTGGGCACATCCTCTTGACTTCATGGATTCCCTGTCTGTGTGAGAAATGTAGCTAGGGGTAGAGTGAAGTCAAAGTGAAGCACTCTAGAGCACAGAATTTAGAACAGAACCTTCTATTCACTAGTTCTTAAGGTATAGTATCAGCTGGGGGGTCATATATGTCTGATGCAGGTTTCATTCCACATATCAAGAAAAGAGGGAATTTAGAAGCCATTTACTCCATGATCTCCCAGTGTATAAATTAGACTAGGGAAGTAGCATTTAACCATGCCTTAAAAATATCAACAGAGTAGGATGCTGAAACATTCATAAAACTTGCAATTCTTTCCAAGTAAGTAGGTTTTTTTTCCTAATACCTCATCTCTTCAGTTACAGTGGGTATTCCTCCCTCTGACCCAATCTGAATTGAAACGACGCTTACCATTTTTTAAATATAATTTCACATTTTTAAAATGGTTATTAATTATTCATTCCACCTTTTATTTCCTGTACTCAACAGCAATTCATCACTGATGAATCCATGATCTGGGAATCAGTAACAATTCTAGTCACACTTATATATTTCCTCCTACCTGCAAGGGCTTCTTCTCTATCTACTTATATCTTACCTATTCTTTTAAGTCTTACTTAAGTTTTCCTTTCCTATGAATATTTCTTTTCTTATTACATATATTATTTCCCTCTTTTTGCAATTATTATTGCCTGGTATACACGAAGTCTGGGTAATAGAATTACCTGGAGAGAACTGCATCTGTAAAAAGAATTACCCAAATGTTTAAAGTAACAGGAAAAGAGAGTATGATTTTCTCATTATTCACAGAAACAACTCACAATGGTTTCTAACACCTTTTCTAAAAAACTAAAGTTAGAAAAAACTGGAATAATGTTTTCAGAATTTTACAAAGTAAAGGTTGTGATTAAAACCTTTTATAATCAGCCGTTATTTGTGCATGTATGAAGCATTTTTTTTGACAAAAGGGCTCTGAAATAATATATCACATGTAACTTTCTTGAAAAAAATTACTAGAAGATGTACTTCAACATATTAAGATATAACTGTGATTAATGGGTCATAAATTGATAAGCCATGATAAAAAAAAAGATTTTCTAGTAACAGAATATATTCAACATAAAGATACATCCAAATAGTTGTTATACATTTGGTTATAAAACAAAATACAAACATTAAAATCATTCTTAAAGAAGAAATACAAATTTTAAATGAATAACTTGAAATAGCTGTTAATATAATTTGTGATGGATAATACCAATCCCCACTATCCAATAAAAAATTGGATAGGTGAGACTGCATTGAAGCAGGAGTGTAAAATTATATTAAGTTTAATGCATTAAAAACAATAAGAAGATGCAATTTCTTGTTTCTAACCCTTTAAAATATACACTATCAAGAATGTAGGGGAAAACATAGGCACTATTGATGATATGAGAAAATGTCTTAGTCATTTTGGGCCACTATAACAATATACCATAGACTGAGTAGGTTAAATAAAAACCATTTATTTCTCATAGCTCTGGAGGCTGGAAAGCCCAAGATCAAGGTGCCAGCAGATGTGGTTCCTGGTGAGGGCCCTCTTCCTTGTTCATAAACAGCCAACTTCTTACTGTATCCTCAAAGAAAGAGAAGGAGAGAAAGAGAGATGGAGACAGATGATACATTGAGGTAGTCGGTAGAGTGAATGAAAGCCAAGGAAGTAATAAAATGTGTGAACAGAAGTCTTTCAAACAAATTTGCTGGAGTAGAGATTTAAAAAATTGAAAAGAGATTCGAAGAAGCCTATTGAATCAAGGAAAGTTTTCTTTTTCTTTCTTCCTTTTTTTTTTTTTTCAATAGTGGAAGGTTTTTAACCATATTGATGCTTACAAGAGTAAACCCGTAGATGGGGAGAGATTAATGATGCTGGAAAGAGAGGATAATTGAAGCTGTGACATCCTCGAGAATAGAATAAAAATGTGTGGGTGGGAGAAACTCTTGATATTTGGTATTATTAGACGTATAGCCCAAATTTATAGCACTTCTAGAGTTCTCTAAACTATAGATAAGCATCTAGGATTATTTATTCATGGAACAATTTTTTTAAATTTTTGAATATCTTATCTCTCAGGCCACATTCATTATTTGTAAATTAAAGCCCAACATCTCTTGACTTCAGTTTCTATTACAGGAGTCTGAATCTCAGGAATCTCCCTAAAAAGTATGCAGTGATAGGTGCTACCAAGAGTCAGACCTTTGTTTTCAAGTTTACACATACACGTATTGCTTAATGACAGGGATACACTCTGAGAAATACATCATTAGGTGATTTCATCATTGTGCAAACATCATAGAGTGTACTTATAAAAACCTAAATGGTGTAGCCTACTATACACTGAGGCTATATGAAATAGCCTAGTGCTCTTAGTGTACAAAGCTGTATAGCATGTTACGGAACTAAATGCTATAGTCAATTGTAACACAATGGTATGTATTCATATATCTACACATATCTAATCATAGAAAAGATACAGGAAAAATATGATATAATCTTATGTGACCACCATTGCACATATGGTCCCTTGTTGATCAAAATGTTATGCAGCACTGAATATCAACATCACATGGTATAGGCTTAGAATAAGTTCTCATGGAGCTGGACTGGAAGAAATACACAAGGTGGCACTAACATGGGGAAGAGAGACATCCTACTGGGTGGGCACATCTCAGTGCTGTGAGTATCATGTTGACTTAGGGTAAGCATCTGCTTCCACAGTGTCTCCTTCATAAGAGTATGATAAGGAGACTCTTTTATATCTGGATTTTAGGAGTGATATTGAGGCCATAACCATATATAATTTTTCCTTATAGGCCCTTCACCCAAAATGGAAACCTTAGTGGTGTGCCTTGAATAATATCCCAGGGGCACTATAGTAGCAAAGCAGATCCAGCCACACTCTAACCACTGCCACCCATAGCAGCTTTTCTTCCTCACCTATAGACTTCCCTTACTTTTCCTTTTAGCCCTCCTTGGCCTCTTTCCTCTTTCCATTCACCTTCCACTCTCTGCAATCTTTTTCTTCTCCTCTGCATCTATTTTAGTTCTTAAAGGGCAAACAGCATTTTCTATAAGCATTTCTGCAAGACTGAGAGTATTTTCTGTAAGCATTTCCTATGGCTGAGATCTAAAGAGACCACCAATCTCTGGTCAATCATAACTGGGAGAAGCTTTTTAAATTTAACAGTAAATATATTTATAAAAGTATTGCAATACAAAAGTATATAAAATTTGAAGTGCAAATAAATCCATATTTTCTACTCCACTCCCCAGACGTAACTATTACTTACAAAATTATCTTGGCTATCTTTTCATAATTGTTCTATACATAAACAAACTATAGTAAAAGCATGCTGTGCAGACTTTTTTGTGATTTGCTTTTTTACTATATAACAGCATAACTTAAATACTTTTCTATGTGAGTCATTCTACTAAATGATATACCATTAATTTGAAGAAGTGATAAAAGGAAAAAATATAGTCCAAACAAATTTTGCAATTTGCTTTGGACCATAACAAAATTATGGCAACTGACTGTTTTTTATTAATAAAATGGAGAGAAGAGTGGGTATTTCCTTCATCTTGTTATAGCTACTAATTTTGAAATAAAAGGTAAAGTGATAATAGATAATATTACCTTGAGACTGATAAGAGATAATGTACAGACAATTAATTCTTTGAATCCCAATAAAATCTAGAAAGTCCTACAAATGCATTACATAAATTTTCTAAATTGTTCCAAGCAAAGAAATCCCTAAGTAAAAAGAATACATACTAGAATAATATTTATAAACATCCAAATCCCTGTATTCTGCCACTTAATCCACATTTAAGTTTATAAAAATTTTATTTATTTTAAAAATTACCACCTAGAAATGTGATTTCTCTCTCAAATATATCTGTAATCAGTCACAGTGCTGTAGTATATGTTGAAATCAACGGTTCTATACTAAATAGTGTTTAATTTCTTCTGCTTTAGTTTTTTTCAAAATTGACATTGAATATATTATAACTTCTGAAAGCAAAATATGGAATAAATGCATCAAATTTAAATGGCAGAATTAATTAAAATCCTTTAGTGTTATTGACATGTACAATTCTATAGAACCTTGGTTGAATAATATTTGCATGTGATTTACATTTGATTTCCTCATACTCATTTTTGCATATAGTTTGCATGCATTTCAATGTATAGTAATTTCATATATTTGGAGTTAGACTGCTAGATGGAAGAGAGTCATTCAACTAAATTGTTGAAAGGGGTGGACCCTCAGAAAACTCAAGTCTTCTTGGTCCTTGGTGGTCTGATTGGGCAGTAACAAGGGCAAGCCTATTGAAGGGCAAATCCACCTTGATCAGATAAGCTGAATCTCTCACTTTGGGAGAGACACAAAGTTCTGTTGGTCAGGTGCTTTCCCCAAAAAGTCCACCCAAAAAAGCGCCCCTCCCCAAACAAAAAGCATGGAGAGATGGTGAAAACAACCATAGCTCCATGTATACTTCTTTCTTAATTTTGAGACCCATAAATATTTATAGATGTTCATTATTTGACAAATAAAAATTGTAGGTATTTATCATATACAACTTGATATATGTATACATTGTGGAATGGATCAATTGAACTAATTAACATATGCATCACCTCATATACATAGCATTGTTTGTGGTGACGACACTTAAAATTACCTTCAAACACTTTTGAACTCTCTAGACCATTAGCTTAACCAATCTCTTGAGAGAAAGAAATCCATCAATACAATGGGAGGCAAGAAGAGATTCTTTGAACTAACACAGGAATAAAGCACATCTCAATATTTATTTAGATAAAGGGTATAGATGGTCACTGTTGGGAAATATTTGCTGGGTTACCAACATTAATAATCTGAATAAATTTAGGGTTGGCCTACAGTGGTGCTCAAATGGGCTCATCTCCAGACACGAATGAATGCAGAGCTGCTCTCTTTGCTTTCAGTGTTTCCACAGTTCTCTCATTTTCTTGAGAAAGAGGACTAGCTTAACTATGGGTTGAGGAATTTTAGCTAGATGCCAAAGCTCCATGTCACATGCTAGAGCCTGGCAAGTTGCTGGGGATATTTATGGCTGCTATTTAGGCCCAAAGTGTCAGTTCTGGCCTCAGGAATTGCAGGTTTTCTGGGATGGAATTAGTAAGTTAACTATGGTTACTCCTAAACAGAGGAATAAGATAAAACTTGCCTCCCAGAAAGATTCATCATGTGACACATAAAGAGTAAGAAGATAAGGATTGGGAGAAGGGTAAAGAAGGGGTCGGAAATAACAGAACTGGCAACTGACTCTTTGAGAAGGGCAAGATAGAATCAAGAATCATGGCTGACTTCTAGATTTCTGGTCTGAATACAGTGATGTCATTCATTGAGTTAGGAAAAAACACAAGGAGGAACAGGTTTTAGGGCTGTGTTAACTTCCTAGTAGCTATGGGATAACCTGCTGGAAATTCTCACTAGGCAGCTAAATGCATGGTATAGAGCTCAGGAAAAATATCTGGGAAAAAATTTAAAGTGGTGAAAGAATCCACATAATTGAAAGAAAGAATGTGCAGGTAAACTGAGGTAGAGCAAGGACTAACACTGCCACCATTTTATAATCCTCAAAAGGCTTCACTTCTGAAAGGTTTTTTCCATGAAGCTTACAGCTCTTTGAGGATCCAAGGCATGTACTAAAGCAGACATTGCAAAGGTAAATGACTTCACAGACTGAAAGCTACAAAAAAGATATAGAAATGGTTATAACAGAGACTAATTAAACTAGGGAAGACATGTTCTTCCTAAGTCATTCGAGGTATTTTTTTGTTTGTTTTTTATGTTTTTAATTCTGTTGGTGCTCAAGCAAAATAAGAGGACTTACTCAGCAGGCAGCCAGCTTGTACTTCCAGAGTAAACTTCTATAAACCAATTGTCCTGCAAATCTGTCTCTGAACACAGATAGCCTGGATTAAAATCTCCTGGGGAGCACTGACCTTAACATCTATTTATATTTTCTTGCAAATCCAACACAGTGACCACAGAGAAAACTACCTACCTCCTTTCAGGGACAGCCTTAAGATCTGAGATACTCACCAGACACCTAAAGAAGAGGTTAAAACGTTTCTGCCAATAGTAGGACGATATACACCTCCTTCTTGATGTCCTGCAGACAAAACAGCTTTCTGCCAGTACTTCCCACAGAACCAATTCCTGGGCATCATTATTTAGAATAAAGCAGTGAAAGAGTGTGTTTTCTTTCTCTGTTCCAACTCAACCACAGCACAACCCCTTAACCCTGCAGAGATTAGAAAATCCTGGTTTTCAGGATTATCAGGAAAAGCTGAGAGCAATCTCTTGGAAGCTCTCCTCATTCCTGCCGTCTTTTCTTTACACGCTTGAAGCATTAAGGCCTTCTGGATCCAGAGCCAAGGACACAGTCAGGCTGCTTAAAGTATTCTTCAGTTTGAAAAGAAATAAGCCCTATACAAATGTGTGAATCTGGTGAAACTGCCTTTAACACCCTTACCAAATGTATCAATACCAGGCGTACCTTTGTTCTGATCTCCACTTAACCTCCCAGCACAGCCTAGAACAGTTGCACGTGACATAATCTCGCCTCTCCTTCATTGCACAGCTTTATGCATCATCTTCTCCAAAAAGCAGTTCTTTGATAAAGGAGTTAGCTGATCATCTACTTGCTACTTGGCTATCTCTGACCTCCCAGTGTAGTTCTTTTCCAGTTGTAAATGTGACCCAGCTACTAACAGAATCACTGAAAAATACAATAGTGGTCCATAGACAATTTCCTTTCCCAGACTTGGTATTTTTACATCTTTGTCCTTAACTAAACTCTCAGCAACGGCCATGAGAATATAAATTTTCATGTGTAAATACTCATGAAGTGCAAATTTGATATGCTCGCACTACTGTAGGCTCCCAATAATGATTGAATTTAAACCATGAAATAAAATCCACTTGTAAAAAGCCAGGAAGTTGACTTGTGTTTGGAATGTAAGCACTGACAGATCAGGGAGCAGGGTGTTGAACTGTCCCTTCAAATGTTACTAGCGGATAAAGAAATGCTTTTCTGTAACAGAGTGGAATTAACTGTTGCTGACCAGACCTTTTCATGATCCCTTCCATAAGAGAAGCTCAAAGCACTGTGGGTGGTCAACCCAGAGACTGCTTAATAATAATCTCTGCTGGTATAAGTCAGTATTATGCCATTATTAAGTTGTTGAAATCAGGCTTAAGTCACAAACTGGTAAATAATTAACAAGTGTCATCATTTTCCTGGCATTGAACTAGGATTGTGATAGCTGTGAAAGATGTATCAGGCATTTTTTAGTCTATACGCATTTGTATAACTGTTTTCCATTCTAAAGTCGAAAAAGGGATTCAGAGTCCACATTCTCTCTTCTCAGTTGTTCCAGCAAAACAGTCCTCACTTCCCCTGCTTATTATCCAGAAATATTTGGAATATTCTGCCTTTCAGGCCAAATGCCCACACCGTTCCTGATCACAGCTGCTCCTGAATAGTTCCTGGGTGTACTGAATGAAGGCAGAATGCCTCAGTGGCCCCACAGGAGGCTTTCTTCTCTAGGGAAAGCCCCAAGTTGCCACTTTTCTTACTCAGCCAACTCTGCCCTGGCAAATGCTGCCTCTCTTGTCTGAGGTCTGGGCATAGCAGCAGCAGCTGATCTTGGCCTGCCAGCTGGTATCTGAGCAACTGCTCTTGGGCCTCCTTCCAGTTCCCAGTCTCTTGAAGGTACACCGGCCGAGCAGGAGCACCTGGAGTACAGGTGTGCCCATGGGATGTGATGCTAGTAGTAGCAGGAGCAGGCAAAGCAGCCCCTTCCTCTTGGACAATGCGGCAGCTAACTTTCCTTCTGGACACTCTGTTCATCAACTGGTCGGGGCACTGGTTCATTCTGCCCAGCATGGCTTTCATTCTCATATCTGGGGAGAAAAGAAGTAGGGAATAAATGGATTTAGTTTTCAACCAGTGAATTACACATTTTGCATAGTTAGCATTTCTGACAAGAAATTGTCAAATACAGTTTTAATTATATCAGCTCTTTAATTTCCAAATATCTTTTATTAGATATTCCAAATATGTAATAAAAATTTGGTAACGCTGCTTCCTCAAAAAATACGTTTATAATATTGACAATTGAATGAGGATTTTTCATTGTAAGCACTAGGCTTCAATGCAAATACCAGACTATGGTCAAGCCTTACCAGTGGGCCAACTCACACCTGTGTTAACAAATATGAACTATAAAAACCAGTATTATCTAACAGTTAGACTTTTATGCCAAATTCATAATTTAAATATCTTTAGTTTTATAAAAACATGAATACAAATACTTGTAGAAATAATATGAGCATAAGCATCTATTTATATAAGTGTATAAATGTATGTTTGCATAATAGTAGAAGGAGAGATGGCACATGAGACTCAAGTCACAAAATTAGGGCTCAAGTTCCCCTTCTCCTGCTGTCTGGTTTTATGACTTTCATCCTTTCAGCCTCTTTGGGCTTTAGTTGTATAATTTTAATTTATTCTCAGGTGCTACTTTACAATTTACTAAAATATATTTATTTTAGCAATGTTGTTTTAGTTGTTTTCTTCTCAACATTTTATTTGTATTTTATTTTTCTATTAAACAGAACTAAACAGCAACTCAGAAGAGTGCAGTATAATTAAACAGATAATGTAGGCATCACACAATACTGTGTAAAGATAAAGAATGCAATGGAAAGTTAGGAATGTTCAGTGGGATACATGCATGGGTATATGATGCATGCAAAAGGTCATTATTCATATGCCTACAGTGAGAAAAAGATTGAACCTGCCTTAACCCGGGGAGGGGGGCAGTAATACTGTCATCTACATTTACTGTCCCAGCTTTTCTCATATTTCACCAGAAAATATATTAACCACTCGTTTGTATGCAATGAAGATGCTGACTTATTAGGCTTTTCGTTATTTTTTTTTTTCCTGAGTTTATTGAGAGCTGTCTTGGTTTGTGTCAGGAGATAGTAATCACGTCTGATTCATACTATAAAATACAATATTGGGGTAAAGAATACCAATTTCTCACTTCAATTTAATCTGGAAAATGAGGTAAGGATGAGATAAAGTAATAACATAACAGAAATATATACGTATATATATAATGCTTTTGATTTAGAGCGGTAAAATAAGATAATCATGTTGTTCCTATTATTTCCATGATGCATCTATTAATATTATGATAAACTCATGCTATTCGTATCTTCTCTCTCCTTTCCACAGTCCATTTGTCTAGCATGTATCTTCTACAGCCATCAAACTATGAGATGCTTCTCTTGCTTAGAGCTGTAAGAACTTTCAGGTTACCCTAGTTTTCCTATGGGACCTGCAGCTCCTTCCAGAAATGTTTCTTGACAGCTCAAACTACATTGATTTATGCCTCCACACTTGTTGTCTAGAGTTTCTCATTTGACCTGCACAGCTGCTTCTATTATTGGTCACCTTTCCTTATGTGACAATTTCATCTTCCTCTTAGGAATCTAAGTTCCTTCAAGGAAGAAATTTTTGTGTGTCATCAGCCTTGCTCCCTCATTATGCCCAGCCCTCGGCCAAGCACTGGGCTTGGCATCATCTCCTTAATTACTGCTCCCACCAGGTGGAAAAGACATAGTTTATTAGGATCAGCAAATAACCAAAGAACAAGAATAATAAATTGTCAGGTAGAAGCAAACTTTAAAAAGGCAAAAAAGGCTTTGAATTTTAATCCCTTGGTAAAACCAACAGCACTTCACATAAGAGGAATCAAACACTGCAAGTTGCCTATTTTCAATCCATTGAAGATACTGTTATCTTGTTTTTGAGAGATCTTCATTGGAAATCTTTTCCCCCTTGTTCTTTAAGTCCGCATCTATTCATGAAAGACTAACACAAGCATAGCTTTCCTCTGCAGACCCCAAAACATTTAAAACTCTCCCATGAATTATTTACATGGCAGCTCCAATCAGCAACATACCTGACAGACTCCCCAGCCGAAATGAAAGTTCACTGTGTAAAGGTGCCCAGGGAGGCTGGCCGCCTCCCACTGTGAGGTTATAGACAGAACTAAGTCAGCACACATTATGTGTCAGCGCCGACATCAGAAGGAATCAAATCCTTTGATCTCGGACCTCCACAGGAAGCTTAGATCTCAGACAAATTAGATAAAAAATGAATTTACAGCAGATACATGTCCTAAGGCATTCGGCTGAATGTTTGGGTTTTAGGGAAGGAAGGATAGTGAGTATCAAAACATATGAATTGGCATGCCTCCCTTCCACCTCTGCCTTGTTGATGAGTCCCAATTAAAAAGAAAAGATGGGATTTTAAACTGTTCCTCATGCCTCTTAGAATCCCACTGGTGGATTTGATCAAGTTTCAGGGAAAATGGGGTGCAATGTGGAGAACATATATCTCTTCCCTACAGAAAGGAAGGCTCACTGGTTCTGGGTTCTCTCAGATCCACCCATAGTCAGATACAGCTTTTCCAGCTGTCTTTAGCCTCTTTCAACTTCCATGACTTTCTTAAGCAGCACATATGCACTGTGCCTGTGACTTTTGAAATTTGTGTGGGTACCGGTCACTGGCTTCTTTTGCAATGAGCTTATGAACAATGAATCTCCCCACTCTCTCTCTACCTACCTCCTACCCCTCATTCATATTTTTTAGCCTAGGTCTAGGTGCAACATTCAGTGTTGGTTGATCTGGAATCAGTATAGAAAGCCCAATATAATTGCCTGGACCTTTGAACCTAAACAGGATCTGAAGCAGAGGGATGAACAACTGATCAACCAACAAGAATTTCTCATTTGTCAGTAAGGAGCAATAGTCCTGTCCACATATTAGGGAATGTATACGCCATAGTTAAATACTAAGGCGTCTGTCTTGTCTAGAGAATTTGTTTCTTTAAGTAAAAAATATTATTTCTTTTTAATAAGCAATACATGACAAATGAGGAGATATAAAAATAAGAGAAAAATAAAAAGGAAAAACGCCTGTAGTCCCACATTATATCATAAGTAATCTGCATTTTATTGTTTTTGTGATACTCTAGAAATTGATGTCTTTTAGTAAACCTAATTTAACTCATTAATCCATATGGAACTTCATTAGTTATATTTTATAAAATGTGAATCTAGAATGATAAATGTTTTAAATAGTCAAGTTTACTAAACCTTTTATAAACTGTTTTCCTTTATATTTATTTTTATTTTCTCTTTTATTATGTATTTCATTTCTGTATCTAACATCCATCTACCTAACTATATATGATATCTATATCTACCTAATCAGGGCTATTTCCAATAATGCGCCCATATATTCTTATAACAGAATCACATTAACTTAAGAAGAATAGTGACATAAATATTATTGCCCTATTAGGGCTACCCATTTCCACTACCATAAAATCTATTTGTTTTTAAAAAATTGACAGGTTCACAGCCAAATTCTACCAGATGTACGAAGAGGAGCTGGAACCATTTCTTTTGAAATTATTTCAAACAATACAAAAAGAGGGAATCCTCCTTAACTCATTTTATGAGACCAACATCATCCCAATACCAAACCTGGCAGAGACACAACTAAAAAAGAAAATTTCAGGCCAATATCCATGATGAACATTGATGCAAAAGTCTTCAATAAAATACTGGCAAACTGAATGCAAGAGCACATCAAAAAGCTTATCCATCACACTTGAGTAGATTTCATTCCAGGGATGCAAGGCTGGTTTAACATCTGCAAATCTGTAAACATAATCCGTCACATAAACAGAACCAAGACAAAAACCACATGATTATCTCAATAGATGCAGAGAAGGGCTTCAACAAAATTCGACAACCTTTTATGATAAAAACTCTCAATGAACTAGGTTATCAATGGAATGTATTTCAAAATAATAAAAGCTATTATGACAAACCACAACCAATATCATACTGAATAGGCAAAAACTGGAAGCATTTCCTTTGAAAACTGGCATTAGACAAGGATGCTCTCTCTCACCACTCCTATTCAATATAGTATCGGAAGTTCTAACCAGAGCAATCAACCAAGAAAAAGAAATAAAGGATATTCAATTAGGAAAAGAGGAAGTCAAATTGTCTCTATTTGCAGATGACATAATCATATATCTAGAAGACCCCATCATCTCAGCCCAAAACCTCAAGCTGATAAGCAACTTCAGCAGTCTCAGGATACAAAATCAATGTGCAGAAATCACAAGCATTCCTATACACTAACAACAGACAGCCAAATCATGAGTGAACTCCCATTCACAACTGCTGCAAAAGGAATAAATTATCTAGGAATACAACTAACAAAGGATATAAAAGACCTCTTCAAGGAGAACTACAAACCACTGCTCAAGGAAATAAGAGAGGACACAAACAGATGGAAAAACATGCCATGTTTCTTGGTTAGGAAGCATCAGTATCATGAAAATAGCCATACTGCCCAAAGTAATTTATAGATTCAAAGCTACCCCATCAATCTACCATTGACCTTTTTCACAGAACTGGAAAAATCCACCTTAAACTTCATATGGAACCAAAAGAGAGCCTGCATAGTCAAGACAATCCTAAGCAAAAAGAATAGAGCTGGAGGTGTCATGCTACCTGACTTCAAACTATACTAGAAGGCTACAGTAATCAAAACAGCATGGTACTGGTACCAAAACAGAGATATAGATCAATGGAACAGAACAGAGGCCTCAGAAGCAACATCACACATCTACGACCATCTGATCTTTGACAAACTGGACAAAAACAAAGAATGCAGAAAGGATTCCCTGTTTAATAAATGGTGTTGGGAAAACTGGCTAGCCATGTGCAGGAAGCTGAAACTAGACCCCTTTCTTACTCCTTATACAAAAATTAACTGCAGATGAATTAAAGATTTAAACATAAGA